ACGTATTCTGAATTTTTGAAACAACTTGATCCTGTAGCTTAATGAAGCAGTGGGTGTGATCAGGCAGGAACTACACACAATTTTCACTGGGTTTCAAAGTGAGGAAGGGCTGGTGTGTATAGATACAAAGACCTGCAAGCTCCGGCTGAATCTATGGAAAACTCATTTTTGAAGTCTATTTCTTTCAGCTCTTGCCAGTTTTCAGGGATGTATCTGCTTGAAAATGACTTTTTTGTTGAAATTTTTAAAAAAAAAGTGTAAGTACCCAGGGAATATCCCTTCCAATGATATCTGTAGATCTGTGCATTACCTAGTGGAGCAAATTTGCTTCACTGATGTCTCTGTAGGTTTCCTGGCTCTTTAATTCAGTGTTCTTTTAAACTTCCTTGAGATAATGACTGGGTTTACTGAGCTTGGTGATTAGTAAATCCAGCTGCTTAAGTTAATACCATGTAACTGTAGAAAGTCAGGTTGTTTCTTTTTCTGGACTGTTCTCAAGTTTTCAGGTGAAACTTTGTTGCCCGATAAAATTTGGCTTGCTGTGAACAGCAAATAAGGTTACCAACCAGAAGATGACGACATACCTTCATTGTTCTAAATGAACTTTTCATCTCAGAAAAATATTGGTGGTTTTATGTCCTTAACTATAACTATTCTCTATCATTTTAGCCAATGGAATATTTCAAGAGAAAATAATTTGTTGAAGTAGTTGTTTCTTATGTCCTGCTTAATTAGTACACAAATAGGAGATAAAAATTGGTTTCCTAAAATAATAGAAAGACTTTATCTTTTAACTAAGAATTTTTGCAGAATCACTGCTTCTGTGTTTTCTGAAAATCACATGCTTTTTAAAACTCCTTTGAGACTGCAAATAAAATTACTAACAAGACTATACTATTTAAAATTAAAAGTAGTTAGTGTGGCAGAAATCCAAGTCTTTGAATTTTGTCTCCTTCTATTAAAAAAAAAAAAAAGCTTCTTTCCTTAACAAGTAACTACAAGGAGACAATAAACAGCCCCACAAATAGGGAAAATCTCTTCTTAACTGCTGTTAAAATATCTAACCTCTTTTCATAAGCTTAAGAGTAAACAAACTGTTCTCTCATAACGTTTGAGGGCTGCAGCAGACTTAAAGAGGATTAAAAGCAGACAGTTGTAGCTGCCAGTGCACACAGCTGCCAGCTCCTCCCCTTTGTCACATGTCAGAATTTCAGTCATTTGCAGTATGCAAAACGAGGGCGATTTCATTTACTTTAACATGCTAGGCTGCACGTTTTGGTGGTTGAGGTGTAGATTCATGAATGATTCAGATGCCCCCGTTTTTGAGATGGTGACATCCGTCCGAGGAGTGGAGCAGACAGATAGGAGAGTAATAGCTTGAGGCCTCTCATCTTAGTCTGTTACTGCGTGCCTGCCGAAGTGTGAGATGCAGACTGTGTAATGTATGCAAAAAACTATGAATGTAACTGTAATTTAACAGTCAACATCACGAGTTTATCTTAATAAAACCCCCAATGTTTACAATTGTCATATATTGTAAAAAAGACACTTTGGTAATATGTAGTTTGTGGGATGTTATCTACTGTGGCTTGATGTCTAACAACGTATGAAATCTAAGTAAAGCCTCCAAATATTTGAATGGCAGGACCAGTACACATTTCCTGAACCACAGTGGTTTTTCATGTCTTGATTTTTGGTCTGTTCAGTTTTAATACCAGTATCAGTCAACATAATACATCATCCAACATACCATTATGATAATGGACTTATTTCTTATGTTTGAGGTACATGCTCTGCTTCTGCTGTAGTGCTCTTATTCAGAAAAAATTCTGTAACAGGTCTGAGCTGAAAATGTAAAAGGTCAATAAATATGGAAAAAAAGAACAAGGCTAGAATTAGTTCAGAGTTTCCTCTTTTAAATCTTTGGGTTTTTTCCCAGTTGTATTGATTTCTGTAGTGCTAACGCTCAAGTGAGTTATGTACAGGAAAGACATTTGGGAACGATGGCATGCAGGACTGTTAGAACACCTGAAAATGCAAGAAGCAATGTGGGAGTATGGGACAGAGTACATCTGTAGAAAGCTCAGTGGTGAAACAGTTGATAACAAACACGTATTTTAAAAATCAAAATTAGGAATGAATATTTTTTCTTCCCACTGGTTTTGAGCTATGATCAGGCCTAGCTAAAACTGAATGAACCTTTTTGCATTCAGACTGAGCATGGCAAACTATTTCTGTCACCATATGAACTGGAATGTAAAGTGGGAAAATTATGGGTTTTTCGTTATTGGAGTCTAAATTTAGTTCAGCATGGAAAGAGGAATTTAATTAAAAAATTGAGTCTAAATTTTAACTAATGATGTTCAGATATGTACTCGTTCATCTGAAATGTGTGTTGTAACACCAGTAGTCTTACTAGTTTTTTTTAGCTGTAGTGAGGATTGATCATTTTTTGGTTTTGACAAAAATTTTTATTTAAAAAATTGTTACTGTTTTAGAGCTTTAGATCATGCCTTGGTAACATTGGTTTCTTTTTTCCCAGACAACCAAAGATTAGATTTAAAAAAATTATGAGAAAACTTATTTTGACATTTGCTGTTTTGCTAAAACTAGTAATGATGTAAATTTTGAATATTTCATGGTATATCTGTAGTAGTAACTCCAGATCAGCATCTTATGAAATAACATAAAACTAATTTAAACATGGAAAGAGTAAAAGCTTCAAAATGTTTATTTTATTCAGAAGCAGTTAGAAATTTTTTTAAATACTTCGTTTTTGTTGCTTTGCAACAAAAAAACTACACCAAGACATTATTTTTTCTGTTGGGGGGGGAATATGTTAATTTGGATCCACTCAATAGTTTAAAGAACAGAGTGGAGAGCCTGCATTCTTTTTCCAGCTCTAGCACAACCATTTATTAGATTTTTACTCTGTACAGCGTTATCTCTTTTTCTTCCACTGCTATCTCAGCCAGCATCAGTACAGCCCAGTAGCAGATTTCAGTGCCCTGGTCAAAAACCCAACAGATCAATGGAGGTCTCTTCATTGACTTCTGAGTGCTTAAAATCAGCCTCTGCCATTTGACATTTGCTATTTTTTCTCTGCTTATTCGCAGAAACAGTGTAATTAATCTGAGATATTGTAAGTAATCAGAAACAAAGGTCAAATAGAATGGAGACCCAAGACAATGAAGTATATTGGTACTTGTATTTCCCTCCATTGTTCTTCCTCTTTCATTTCTGCACTTTCCTCAGCCTTTGCTGGCTCATTGGTGCTTTTCCCTTCGTTCTGTTTCTCTTCTGACTGCAGGAAGTCTTAACTTGACATCAGATTCATGGCATCTATTTTATTTCCCTTTACTAACCCCTGTGATAACTAGTTTACCAAATGTTTTTGTATCTAAGGAAAATTTAACCTGGAGACAGCTTCCCCCCCGCCCCCCGGCTCATTAAAACAATCAACTGATGTCCAGCCTTGTATCTTGAGAAGAACATGCTGAGCCCTTCAGATGAAGGGAATTTGCAGTTGAAGAAAACCTGGGGTGGTTTTTTAGGGAAAAGAGAAGGCTTTTCAGGGGAGCTGGCATGTTAGAAAGAAGGTGAATTGGCAGGAGATTAGCATATTATTAAGGGAAGCTTTTTGATTCACTATGAGAAAATGATAATTCTGCTGCCAATTAGAGTATCTGTGGAAGGTGGTTCACACTGAGATACGTAAGAAGAATGGAACTGGCTACACAGGCTTGTTTTTTAAGGAACGATACTGTTTTTTCCATTTCCTCTTGGATGTCAGTTTTTCACCTTTTTCTAAGTGATCTCTTTGTCAGACTGCAGTGATTACTCAAGTCTCCAGCTTAGTTCAAAAGTTTACTCCTTCCAGGTTTGGTATCAGTCTGTCACCCTCTTCTGTTCCAGTCTTCTATAGACATAGCACTTAATGTTGCTGCATTACCTTTGCTGTGAGCAACTAACCAGTTGGCTTTTTGCTCATAATACAAACTGACGGTGAAGTGAAACTGCCCGCAAAAGCAGTGACTACAGAAAGGAAGAACAGGATTTAGTATATAAAGTGCAGGTAGGGTTTATGTTGTTGTTTTCCAAATTTGAAACAGATTTGGCATGTATAGCATTGAGTTAGCATTTCCGGTTTTCCTGAAAAAATGAACAGCTTTGAAAAAACTAAAAGTATTTTTCCATTTCTGTTGCTCAACAAAGTATCTGTTTTAGAACACCAACTGGAGTTTTCTAGAAAAAGCCCGCAATCAGATTGTTAAATTAATTTGTAGTGTAGTTTATACTTATGGATGACAATGAGGTAATAGATGAAAAAGTTTATTTTCAGATGTGCTTAGAAACAGGTAATATTGTTACTATAAAATATGATAGTGACATAAAAGGTTTTACAGGACATGAGGTGACAAAGTTAGAGGAAACAGTGACACATTTCTACTTCTGAAAACAAAAGTTGAAAAAGCAGATAAAAGGCACAACTTAGAGACATGAGGATATGGACATTTCTTGCAGTGCTTTAGTTACCTTGAACTGGTAACCTAAAAATGCCTGCTTGTTTTACTCTCCTGGGCTTACATTTAGGTGAGAGTGTGGCTGATACTAACTGCCGGCTGTAAAACGACCATTGGTTTGTGAAGGTACGCTCTTTCAGTAAATATAGTGAAGACACCCAAAATAAAAGATGCATTAATTCAAAAAAATACTAGAATTGAAATATTTTGATTCCAAAGCAACTAGCAGGAGCTATATATAGGTAAGCTTGCACCACTGTTATTCCATAATATTTATATTCATAAAATAACATATCATTGACCCAGAATCTGTCAGTCAGTTGTTTGCATTTGTTTCACAATGCGTTCACTTTGAACTTACGTATTCATTTCACTGCATGTCTCTTAATTTTCAGATTCACACTGAATGACTGAATAAAGCAATTAATGAAAGAATGTGAAGTATTTAAAACAATTAATTATATTTTTTCTACACAGCTATAATCCTCTGATAATCATGGAGCCGTATTTTGCTGGTTTTAAGCACGTGCAGCAGGACTATGAAGTTACTCTTGAACTTGCCAATGAGGAGACTCAAAAAACTGTCAGTGCACCGAATGCTAAGGCGGGATCTTATGGTGTGAGTATTAGAGTCCAAGGAATTGGTGGACATCCTTACATAGTACTAAACAATACAGAAGGATATTTATCAGAAAATCCTCCTCCATCTGGAAAAGAACAGCAGGTCACTCCTCAGATTATAAGTAGGCCAACTACAGACTCTAATACTGCTTTTAAGTTGGAGGACAAAAACAGTGAAAACACAAAGTTTCCTGGAACACAGCACGTGCAACCCTGTATGTTTAAAAGCCTAAAGATAACCAATATAGATGAAAAAGAAAATGGAGTATCAGATTCTAAAGATGGGACACTGAAATCCTCCAATTTATTGAACTTTCAAAGACATCCTGAGCTTTTACAGCCTTACGATCCTGAAAAGAATAACTTGAACTTGGATACTTATCGCTCTTATGTGTGCAGTAAATCTAAATCTTTTTCAGATGAAAGTACAACTGAAACAAAACCTTGGATTTCCTCATCCAAAGTAGTGTCCCTACAGAAAACAGATCTGTATCTTGCAGAGTCAACCAAAGCAAGTGCCAAAAAAATACATTTGAACAGGTCAGTGGAAGACCAAAATAAGCAGACGTTGGATTATCCCAGTAGTGTGATAAGTCCTAATGAAGTGCATGTTTCAGATTCATTTTCATCCACAGGAGGATCCCCATGTGTTAGCCCTATTGCTCATCCAGAAACAAAGAAACCTAGACCAGATGTTCTTCCTTTCCGCAGGCAAGATTCAGCTGGGCCAATGTTGGATGACTCACGAAGGTCATCATCCTCGTCAGCTACTCCCACTTCTGCAAATTCCTTATACAAATTTTTACTTGATGACCAAGAATATGCCATCTATGCAGACAATGTTAATAGGCATGAAAACAGAAGGTATATTCCATTTTTGCCTGGAACTGGCCGTGATATTGACACTGGTTCACTCCCAGGAGTAGATCAGCTAATTGAAAAGTTTGATAAGAAAGTTGGTCCTCAGAGAAGAGGTAGGATGGGAAAAAGGAATAAAATTCATCCAGATGATCGTAAAAGGTCAAGAAGTGTTGATAGTGCCTTGTCATTAGGCCTTGAGGTAAATTCAGATTATTTAGATGAATTCAATAAATGCTTGGGTAAGTCAACTGAGCACTTAGTAAGACCATCTGAAATTTGCCTTCATAAGCAGTTACCTAGAGATCAGAAGCTGCCTTCCACAGATATGAAAGGTTCGTCTCGAAGTACTGGAAAACTGCAAATGCCTGATAAAGACATTCAGAACAGCCATTTCAATTCTTTGCAGTATCATAAACAAAATAGAACGAATACTGAGAGCTTCATGTTTAGGTCATCCACACTCCCAGGACAGAGTAAGAGTGAGGAAGCTAAAACAGTAACTTCTACTCTGCTGTTGCCAAACCGATTTGCAGTTCCACCAGATACGGGAGCCAAGAAGATTTCTGTAAAAACATTTTCATCTGTCCCCAGTATACAGGTAATTTTGAATTTACTCTTTTAGTAATTTGTGCTGCAGTATACTAAAGCTGTCATGTTGTTAGATGCATATTTTTCTGTTCCTCATTAGAGCAAAGTCCCATCATGTAATACTTCTGAATGGGATAGCAGGATTGTTCTGGAGAACTGTAAATTCAAAAATTAATTCCCTGGATGAGGCTGTAGAAAACGTATTTTCGAAAACAGTCTCATTCTTGTTTGAGTGAATGAATATGGTGGGGACAAGGAGGTCCACAGTAAGTATATTTCTTCCTAGTAGAATAGAACAGAGAATTTTAATTGTAAAAATTTTTATTTGCAAATCCTCATATGATTATTTTTTTGACATTTTATCTTTTTCTCTTAGGCAACTCCTGATCTCTTAAAGGGCCAGCAAGATCTTGCACAGCAAACGAATGAAGAGACAGCTAAGCAGATCCTTTACAATTACCTTAAAGAAGGGTCAGTAAACATAGTTTAACGGCTAGAGAGGAAATTGTATCTTCTCAATATTCTACTGTGTTTAAGATTTGAAACTGTAAAATCAAATCTATAGATGAAATGACCGCTTCATAATTGTGTATCTCAGCTTTATCCTTTAAGGCACTATAGGATCTCGACATACCCATGCAGTCAGGGCTTACATGAGGTATTGTTCAGGATCTGATTAAATGTGCTTGAAAATTGTGAATCAAATTCTGATTTTTTTCCTTTTAAATACTTTTGGAGATGAGCTTCCTGTGATACGCAGTTTCATGAAGAGTTTGAATCATACCTCATGTGAGCTTAGTGGTTAAAAAAAACCACTTGTTTAAAAAGAAAAAAGTGCTTGTATTTCTTTTTTTGACAGAAGTTCTTTTGTTGCTGTGCACTGAATCTTTTCTCCACCTGTATCTTTTTTTTACTTTTGTATTTTTTGACAATGACTTATTTAAAGGTGAGGAAGGAAGGACAAATGAATTAAAATACATGTGATACACTGAAATTTCTGTGCATGCTTCAAGTTTCTTAGGTTCGGTCGTACTGATGTAGCAGTTTCTGGCAGCTGTTTAAGAGATATTTTATGGTGCAGTAGTCAGGACTTGAAGAACTTAGTAGTAATTACTTCTAAATTCGGTGTGTGTGTTGAATAGTATACATGCTGAATACCTGTCTTTTCACAGCCATAGTAGAAGAAAGCTGTAATTAATTAGAGCTCAGTGATTTTTTTTTCTTCTTTTATTTTTTTTGGAAACATTTGCTATTAAAATTTTTGACAGCCTACTTTTAGATGATTTAATGAAATCATGGTTAAGATAAGTTCTGACTCATTCATAGTAGGTTTTCGTGGTAGTGATTTTCAATATTTTGGACACTTGGAATTTGTTTTCGTGCTAACAAAATAGTGTCTTTGGACATATTGTTGCTTACGCTGGGTCTGTGTTTCAGAAGTGCTGATAATGATGATGCCACAAAGAGGAAAGTCAACTTGGTTTTTGAGAAAATTCAGACTTTAAAGTCAAGAGCTGCTGGAAATGCACAGGTGAATAATTGATTTGGCTTGTTTCATAGTGATGCAATGTTCACGCATAGAACTTTAGGCTGTCTAAGTCTAATGATTTGCTCAGGATATCTTTGGGGTGCACAGTAAATTGGATGGCAAAGATACATAAGTAAACTTGAATATTTTGCAGATCTCTTACAAGGGAGTGCTTAAACATGTGTTCTACTTCAAAAATTTGAATCCTGTCACTAATTTCAGTGAGAGCATTCTTGTAGTCCCCCCAGGAGTGTAGGTTAATGATAATCTTACGCTTAAGTTCTTTACTGAATCAGCCTTGTGGGAAAACTTTCCGATAACAGCTAAAAAATAATGTAAAGGAATCTGCCATGAGGGCCATTTTGGGGTTCATTTTGCTTCTATGTATTAGACAGAAAGAGAGTTGAGAGCTTAACAGCAAATGTTATGGACATCAAAGGGTTGTTGGACCTAAGAAAAAGCTAACATACATAGCTTTTAAAAATAATGTTGGAGCATCTTCTCATTATAATGATACAAATAGATATATATATGGGGAGAGAGTATTTCAGTGTGTACTTTAAAAAAAAAAAAAAAAAAGCAGTAATCTAGGATATTATTTAAAAACTATGTTACAATAACTTCATTTAACAATCTGCCTATTAAAAAGTTATTGTTTCCTGCTAAGTGATGCACTGTTTTTTCGGCTATTAAAGTGAAGAAATTCACAGTTGTTGAAGTGATAGAGTAAAAAGGACTAAATGCTTACTTTTGGGGGTTATTTTATCGTGGGATATAAGGAATTCAAATTAAAATATACAACACATGAGTAATAACAAAAAGCAGAGGTTGAAAATCTATCCTCTGAGACAGACAGATAGACAGGCACGTGCACGTACAGACATGCACACTCTCTGCCTCTCTGCTCCTCTCGCTCTCTCTCTCTACCTCTCTCTCTGCCTGCCCTCCCTCCCTTCCCTTTGTTCAGTGTTATCAGTGATATCTCGAAGTGAAATTTGGTCCAAAGTATTAGTGATTTAATTCAGATATTGCCTAATAGGAATTTTTAAGTTTGCAGTATTTTCTCTATTACTGACAACATGCTTTGGGCAATTACTAAGAAGTTATATGAAAATCAAATAATGGTTTCTTTGAAAATATTAGCTTGGCTTGGCCCATATGGAAAGTCCCAGGTGAGCTCAGGCAGTTGATGCAACACTTTATTAGCCTTGCTTGTGATTTTATTTTTGGTTTTAAAAGGAAATTGTCAGAAAACATCTTGAATTTGTTGGAATAAGCATCTCCATTTAATTGTAGGTTTCTGAGTCTTCAGCTGAAGTGAAAGCTTTGTCGGAACAAAAAAAAGAACTTGAAGGGAAAGTGGAAGAGTTACAGAAAAAACTGGATCTAGAAATTAGGGTACTGCATTTTGTTGTTAGAAAGCTTTTGACTGTTTCAAATGTGCTTCTTTAAATAAGTGACAACTGATGAACCAAGTGAATCTTGTACAGAAGAAAATGATATATTTTGTTCAATCTTCAATAAGTATTCTATTTGAGACTACATATTGGGAATACTTTGTAAGCTGTTAGTGCTTATGTAGTTAAGTATTTGGAACATAATATTTGTTGCATTGGGTGGGTTTTAAAACATTCTGTGGGGTAACTGATAAATTTTAAATAAAAACATGTTAATGTTCTTCTATGAGTACCTGAAATGTGTTTGTAGATATATCAGATACTCGGGATCATTGTGCTTCGTGTTCTTTTTCATCCAGATATACCTGTGCTTTTTCAGAAGACTTTTAAGTATAGCTGCTCATAGCATAGTTACCTTTTTTCAGAAATCTTTTTCTTAATAGTATTTGAGAGGGAGTTTGGAGCCATGAATAAAAATGTTAAGCACACGTACAAAAATTTTCTTAAATAGCTGTAGAGGTAGATGTTAAAACCTGTTGACTGCAGGGAGACATATGTGGAATGGGAGACAAACTGTACTACTCATGTAGCTGCTGTTTATTAATTACAGCATTACTTTTCAGTACTAAATTCAAAGTAGCTAAGAACAACCATGCTTTAAAGACATGAGAGGGACAGATTGGCTTCCATTTCGAGTCCGTGATAAGAATCAATATACGTGAAACTGATTAGTTAATTCTGAAGAGACTTCTCTTTCTGTATTTCTCATAAAAATCCAAAATCTTTGTGTGTTTTAACTTAATAAAACAATTGAAAAGAAGAAAGTCTTTTCATATCATAATAAATGAGCCTTTAATTTCTTTATGCTTAGTTTATTACCTTGCTTAACTTTTGCACAACTTAATTGTGTACACAATTTAGAATCAGCAAAATACCAAAGAAGAGAGAGATGCTACACGAGCAAACCTGAAAGAACTTCAGTTGCAACTTGATGAAAGTATACGTGAAAAAGATGCCTTAAAAAAGCGGCTGGAGGAAAGTGAGAAGGAACTTAGACAAAACCTAGAAGAGTGAGTTTATTCTAGAAAACTTAATCATTGGAACTTGTTCCTTTTCTTAAACCGCTTGGATGAATGGAATCATACAGAGTGGCATTTTATTACTACAGGAAGTGTTTCAACTGTTTAAAAATTAAGTATTTTTAGAGTATCTTGAAATAAAGTAAGACTGATGAATTTATAGTCTTTTTCTAGATGTGAATTATTTTTAATATTCATTAGTCGTAATGTATAGTTCAGTCTTTAAAATACAGCAACGCTTGAGCACTGTAGTCAAGACAATTGTCTGTGCTAGATCAAAACACCCCACAAACTTTCCATTTAAATATCTATTAAAAAGAGTTCACATTTTTACCCCTCTGACATATCATTGCTTTGCCTCATTCTATCCCGTTTCCTTGTGGGGAGCATGGGAATAGGTACTCATATCTTTTTAGTGTTTGGAAGAACAGATCAGCCTTTCTACAAATTAACAAACGTTTCTGTTTTTTTTTTTTTTTTTTTTTTTTTTTTTTTTTTACCCCCTGTGGAGGCTTTTTCAAGTGAAGATGGAGCAGGAACAACACCAGACTGAGATCAGAGATCTTCAAGACCAGCTGTCTGAGATGCATGATGAACTGGATAATGCAAAACATACTGAAGAAGGGGAGAAGGAGATTCTGATTGAGGTTAGTGGAAAAAAGTACTAGAAGAAGGATCCAAAGTTCAAAAAATAGTACAAAAAGTGAGAACTGAGATATAGTAGAAGACAGACATGCTTTAGCTTTTCCCGTTTGATCTATCCACAGTAATTTAACATTAGTAAGTGACTTAAGAGCGCATGCTAAAATAACTAAATTAGCACTAAAAGGAATACAACACGTAAGTTCTATTATTTTACAGAAAAGGAGAACAAATACTGTATGGTTGAGGGATAACTGAGTTATCCATTGCTGCTGCTGTTTTCATAAGAAGGATTGCGGTCAGAAGAGGAAAGACCATGTTCAAGAATGTTTAGAAAAGGTAGAGGTGTACATATCAACACCAGATGAGATTCCACTAAGAAAATTCAAAGAACCCATCAAAGCAGTCTCTACATTGTCAACTGTTTATTAATGAGACCAGGAAGGGAAGGGATGGCAGCTGAAGAGGAACAGAAGAGCTGTTACAGCTTTTCTGGCATGTTGCAGTAGGAATCAGCTGTTGCCTCGGTAATAGTAATTATTTTTCCTGATGATGAAATAGAGAACGCTGCTAATTAAATTTGTCGATATTGGTGCATCAGTGCATAATGGTTAAAAAAACTGAATCCGAATTCAAAATTATCTTGATACTTTCTAATACCAACAACATAAACTTCAGTTAAGACCAATGCAAAAAGCTAGTTCAGGAGATGAAAGCTAAATGTTCAAATGAAATAGGGAGAAAAAAGGTAGACAGTGTAGAACTCAAAGGAATATTAATAAGGATGTTTCTACACAAGACAGGCTTAGTAGAATAGCTACCATCTTTGTATATGAGACGAAGTGGGATACTATCTTAAATCTCAGGCACCGCAGTTGAAGGTTGTACATAAGTAGGAGAGTGCCTGGAATGATTGCAAGTACTGGAAAATGTTACTTACGAAGAAGGATTGTTTAATGTGAATGGACGAGTGAGGGGAGAGACATAAACGCATCTCACATAAAATGTTGCTGTCAAGCAGATCTTGATCAAGTTTCTCTGTTGTGTGGAGATGGAATAAGAAGTAATAGACTTAATAGCTGTGAACATTTGGGGTAGATGTTAAAACACATTTTTCTAGTGACATGGATTACAGAACACTGAACGCATCTGCTATGTAGCTATAGTCAGTTGTAGAATCCCTTTCGTTGTGGGTTTTTAAGGACAGAATAGATGATATCTGCCAAGTGTACTTATGTTTCATTGCTGGGGAAATTTGCACGGTTTTTGAAAGTGCAGTTATTCACTGCTGTACATTTTTATGATTGCTCCTGCTATTTTGCACTGTGTGTGTATATACGTGTATGTATTTATTCTTCTGTCCAGTGCCGTATTTTAGAGTTTTAATTTAATCTGTATCAGAAAGATAAAATATACTGCTTTTCATATATAATACAATATTTTTAAAATTTCTTTAAAAGTCAGCTAATTTTTTTCCAGACAGAATGATTTACTTAACCTGTGAGAATTAAAAGTTTGCATTCTTTTGGTAGACATGAAAAATATGCCCACAAGCTGTGTAGTTTGTTCCTACAAACATGTAGTGCAGTAACTTTTCAAGGCGAATTCCTTCCTTTATGTCCTGAGGGTCTCAACATGAAAAGATAAGTTTTTACAGTGACAGATGAAAAACAGAAAATATGTGGTCTAGGATTTTACTTTAGTCCTATGATCAGTGGCTGTGGAATGTTCATTGAAGAATTTCATAGCAATTAATTGGTACTCACATAAACCACGTGAGGACTGTAAGTATTATTTTAATTTACCAAATGAAATATGCAGTTATTCAGAATGGCATGTACTGAGAATATGACTTGTTTAAAGTTACAATTTCATGATTGATCCAAGAATACAGGCCAAATTCTAACTATTTGGTTCTTTTCAGGAAGGGCTAGGGGTAACACAGTAGGAAGAGAAAGGGCATGGAGGCATGGACTCAGTTGGGAAGCACTTGTTCTGCTTTCAGCACCTCAGGAACTTGAACTGTTTTAATTTGCAGAAGCAACTTTCTCTCTTCTTTTCAATGGAAAAAACAACAAGAAATTATCATTGCGTTCACTTCTCCTGCAGTGTGAGAAATAAAAAGGCTTTTCTTTGCTGGTGGAGGTGGGACTGAGGAAGTTGTTAAATTGCAACCTTACTTTGACTTCTGCTTTATTTGTGGATAGTATAACATATATCATGAAAATCTTTTCCTAGTTTTGTAGTATCAGATCTGTTGACCCATTGTATGAAGCATCAGTTATGCATTAACGTTTCTAATAATTTTGGGTTTTAGTAAATCCCTAGCTTTCTACAAAAGCTGCAAATGATGTGTCAGTCATACAAGAAACAAAGTTGTCCTTGGGGGCTTATACTGAAATGCTTTTCTTCTCTGCAACACAAGTGGAACAGTTATTCTTCTAGAAATTATTCTCAGCACATCTTGAGTTTTGCAGCAGACTTAAAAGTCTGTTGCTATACTGTATAACTATATTACTTAAGAGCTACTTATAACATAACTGTGCTGTTAATACGATGTTTAATAGCGTTATCTCAGCAGTACCTAGAAACTCTTAATATTGTCCATGAACCTGAAAGATAATTAATCTGAGAATTGAAATGCTGTATGTGTTTGTTAACACTAACAGTTTTGGCATACTGCAATGCAGGCAGAGTTGTTAAGAAATTTCTTGTGTGGTGCCTTAATGCCCAATTATTGGAGTCATCTGTGATAGTTGTGTTTAATTTTGTTTTTAATGTTTTTTAGAAGCTGATGCAAATGAAGCAGGATCTGCAAGAAGTATTAGTGGCAAAAGATCAACAAGAAGAGATACTGAGAAAGAGAGAGCGAGAGCTTACAGCTTTAAAAGGAGCACTAAAGGAAGAAGTGTCTAGCCATGACATGGAGATGGATAAAATCAAAGAGCAGCATGATAAAGAATTGCTGAATCTACAGGAGAGCCTGGAGAAAGTAACAGAGGTGAAATAAGTGATTACAATTAATCTTTACAGAGAAAAATCATACCTATCACAGATGTTGTGTACTGCATGCTTTCAGATCCTAATTTTTTCTTGGCAGAGCATATCGGTAAAGATTTGGGCCAGAAGATTCTTAGCTGCTGAAAATAAGTCTAATTTCATACAGTTATATAATGCTTTGGTTCTTTATCAGAGTGGAAATTGTGGTTCTTTCTTCAAACAGTTATTTACTACATGCTTAATTCTGCTTCATCCAAACTTCTGAGAGAGAATGGATGGAAGGAGAATGGTGCTGAGGACTGTTTGGTTGTCTTGGGCAGAGTGGAATGACTGAAACACTGAGGTTGGCCTGATACTTTGCCACTGATTGCTAGCCACTGATACTCCTGCATTTACAGTTTTGGAGCTTCTGGTGGAGCTTTTACCCGCTCTCTTGCTTTTCTCTCCCCGCTCTCTTGCTTTTCTCTCCCCGCTCTCTTGCTTTTCTCTCCCCTTTCTGATCTGAGCTGATTTTGTTAACTAAATGGTCACATTAGTGCCAGCACAAGTGAAACGCCAGGGAGTGTGGGTGGCTGGATCAGAGTAGGAGGAGAGGAGGACTGAAAGAATTGCCTTTTCCAGCGTGATCAGGCAGTCTTTGGGGAGAATAGGGATCATTTTCTGAAGTGTATATCTGATACTGTTTTCCAAAAGGTGTCCTTTGTGAAGTTGTCCTTGGAGAGACAGCAGCTAGCAATTTATTGAAAGATTGTTGTGAGGGAACAGTTCTCATAAAATTTTGACTATTATTTTTATAGTGACAGTTACTTATATCTTTCCAGTATCTCCTGAATAGTATCTCCTTTCTTCATTTTATGTTTGCATCAGATAGTTGAGGAAATTTCTAAAAGCTGTCGTTGACCAATGTGAAAGTCAAAATTATAAATCCTGTTTTATACTTAGAAATGTTTATGCTAGTTTATACTTTGAACTAGAACACCGAGGAGGTGTGACTTAATACCTTCAACCCACGCCTCCTTAGGGTTAGGTGAATTGCAGTTATCCAGTAGTCATGGCTGAAAACATAATGTAGAATTGAACTAAAATTAAACTTGAAGTTTTTTAAGCTTTATGAAGCTCATACAGATATTGTATGTTTGTGAATTCTGATTAAAAGTATTCTTGTGAAAAGTTGTTTTCAAATGTGCAATTTTCCTGAGTAGTTAAAAGAGTTTATATGCAGCAGTTTGTTTATACAGCTTAGGACTTCACCTAGAGATTGTTTGGCTTTGCTTAAATTTACTTTTTTTCTTTGTTTATATCATCTTGGAGATACTTGCCTCATCTGAGCTGCTTGAACTAAATTCATATTTTTTCTTTGAGAGAAAAACTAGAGCATTTGAAATCATCATTTTTTATTATACAGTAATTGCAGTGACAGCTTAACCTCAGTGAACCATCTTTCAAAGGTACTGCATGGTAATTTACTGTATTTCAATTATGGAACTGTAATTACGACTGACAAGAAATGAAAGAGTAGTCTGTTTGGTATGACAATAACATAGTCTGGGAAATGGCTCTGTGGCTGGATTGCTGTAGTTTAGGGATAGTTATAAATAGCTGTTTTTTACTTGCATGGTATAGACTGTCTAATAGTAAATTTAATAAGATATTCAAAAGTGAAATTTAATTAATGTTGCTCTAAGCACAAGTTCTGCTCTTCCAATTTTACTTTAAGTGATTTTGTATTGTTTTTAATTTAAGGAAAACTTATCAGGTTTATTTGGAAGTATCTTCATCTCTCTGGTGTTAGTATCCTTAATGATTTTTTAAAGCACGACATTAGCTGTATGCCTGCTGCCTGATATTCGTTTGCGAATATCATCTATGAGGAAAGTATAATCAGTCTCTGCAGGGAGAAAGACTCTACAGGAATGAGTGATCTGCTGTGATCTTATATATGATGTAAATTATTGGTCCTATAATTAATCTGGTTTATGTGCCAAAGTTAAATCAACAGAATGTTCAGCTACTGGAGACATAAGGTAGGTTGGCAGATACTGTAGAAAACATTTATTCTGCGTGATCAGAATGCAACATGGATCTGTTTCACATCACGTTAGAAACATAGTCAAGATTATCCGATGGGAGAACAGAGGAGGATGTTTCATAGGCAATTGTGTTTCATGCTCACTGATGTGGTAGTAGTGGGGTGTCTTTTTTTCTTTTTTTTTTAAAATTTTTGAGAGAGAGGGGGATTGCTATATAAGGCTCAGTGGTATGTAAGTGAATTAAGTTTTCTTTCCATTAATCTTAAGCTTTACATTTTCTTTGCTACAGTTTACCTTTCCAATTCATTTTTGTGTTTTATATTTGCTTATGTTTTTACTGAGATACCTGGATTGTTCTTTCTTTACTGCTTGTTTAATAAAACTGACTAAATTGTTTTCCATTAAACAACAGTAAAAATTTTCTGCTCCCACAACATATCTCTGTAGCATAATAAAGGCCTTTAACTTAGTAATAAATTAGTAAAGGAATGCCTCCCTAACTAAAAAGGGACTTCTTTATCACTGCAAGTCCTATAGTAGAAACAATTAAGAATCTCTCTTATTTTAAGTGTAATATAAAAATTTACATCGTTTAACCTGAACCTCCAACACATTAGGCCGGAATCGTACTCCTTAATCATGAATTTACTGTCGCAAAGGAAGAGCCGCTGTTTCAGCAAAATTTAGAACTAGCTTTTGGAATGCAATACTGTAGGCAAAAGGTTGCAGCAAACTGCAGTTCGTACTGTTCAAATTCCACTGAAATCATATCAGCTCAGAAAAATGCAACGCTAACTGCACAGCACTGTCAGATTGTTACCTGTTTTGAGAAGCAGGCTGCACAAATTACATTGTTCAGAAAAGTCTGTAACCATCACATTAAATGTACAAACTTCCACTTTGATGAGGCTTGTCTAAGCCTGACCTTGACTGACTTTTTCAGTATCCGTTACACTTCTGACCTGATCCACAAAGTGGTAGAACAGACAAACCAAATTTAGAAGCTGTTTCATTTGTCCACACACTTGAAGAGTAGACACACTTGAAGGGTAGACCACAATGAAGGTTGTGGTCATGTGAACTGTAACTGATGTGTATGTGTTAAGACATGTGGTGTGACTAAAGGGAAGAAGGAATTTTAACAGAGCAAGTGGTAGGAACAGCAAAAGGCAATAGTTACCTTTGGCATGTTACAAACTACGTATGTATTCCTTCTGTTTAAAATAAAATAATAAAAAATGTCATGTATCATAGATAAGAAGCTTTAATTTCCTTTTTTTGGATGTATATTAGGTGATTGTGAATACTGTATCTTTTCTGCCTGACCTGATAGTATCAGGTTTCTTCTTCAAAGCTAGCAGTAAAAATCTCCCACATAGATCAGAAGCCGTTTCTTTAATAGCAAAAGTTAACAAGTACTAGCTTAAGTGTTGAAAATATTATTGATATATACTGTAGATGTCTTGCTTGTAACTATGGCTTGACTTACATAGTTTAAATGTAGAATGAAACATAACTAAGCTTAGTGTACTCTGAGAACCTGTTGTGGAACAATGCTGTACAGAACTGAACAATGGTAGCCCAAGTGCCTAAGTTATCCTAGGTAAAGTGAAGACATTAACTGATTGGGAAGCTTTGCAGAGAGGCTGTATGAAACTGGAAGTTGATTCATAAACTGATAGGTAAATTCAGTGTATATAATTATAAAATGATACACATGGAAAAAATATTTAAAATTTTACATATAAAACTAACTTCTGCCACTCTAAGGTGAAATCCTGGTGTTTTAGTAGATAGCTCTATAAAAACATCAGCTTGATAGCAATGAGAGCAGGAAAATATAGGAATTATTTGAATTTAAGAACATCATTATGCCCCTGTATATAGATATCTGTAACTTACCTGAACCTGCATCCTGAATGTTGTGTCTAGTTCTGGTTCACTTACCTCAAACAAGATAGAGTACAGTTGGAAAGGATTTAGAGAAGATGAACAAGGATTTAAAATGCCACTAATGAATTTTTCTTTTCTCTTAGCTTGAGGCAGCTGTTGCCATGTTGAGATAACACTTTTTGGTTTATATGGTAGAAGCGAGTTAGTTACTGATCTAAACTGTATAAGGTCAATGGGCAGTGGAGTGACCAGTCTAAGCCAATGTTTCCGTGGAAATTGCATCTAGTGAGATATATGAACAGTTCTTGAATGTCTTTGTGCACTCCATTAACAGCAACAAAGTTATGGTTTTAATCACTTTGGACACCTTGATAATAAACAACCTGAATCCCATATAAGAAAAATCAGTGTCATGCCCTTAAGTTAGTCTGAGTAACGGCAATCTACTTAGGCTATGTTTCTGGGTCCAAAAGTCAGCCACAAGGTAATTTACTTCTAAGTTCACTGGTACTTTGGGGATACTGAAAAGATTTAGTGGCAGAGCTGAACCAAAGGATGACAGGGATACTTATGTTTCCACTGCTGTTCATCTTTACAGTTCTTCCATTGTTTCTCTTCTGTCCTTTCATGTGTCTTTACCACCTGCAATATTGGGCATTTCTCCTTTGTACATAACCTGAAACCACTTGATGATATGAAACTCTCGGTAGGAACGTTAGTTTAGGAAGTTCCTGCTCTCCTTAGTAGCTTGTTTTTGCGTGCTGTCGAATTTTTGTGAGGCCACACGGTACAGTGGATTGATTTGGCTTACAAAGCAAAAATACTCCGTCCCCAAAGAAAACCTCTCGTTTCTTTGTTTTCTTTCTTCCTTTACTAGCCTCTAGGGTTTTGTTTTTAAGCCAGGTACATTTCTGATCTAGCTCCAGCGTGATCCCACAAGTGAGATGAGGGAAGAGAGGGTGCACAGAGGTGCATCACTATTGGAAACTTATATTGTAGAAGTGCATATGGAAAACTTGGAACATAGATTTGATTTTTTTGCTGTAAGTTTCTGTTCTGGGTATGGAAAGGAAGTTGT